CAATCTGATATCAATATATTTGATTTCAGCCATATAATTTTTTTTTTTTTTTAATGGAGTTTGGAAGTACCATTGAGACATATATATATATATATATATATATTAATTTTAAAGAAGTTTGATGTGAAAAGTTCATTAATGGCATGTAGAGTTGGGACCAACATATTTATAAGCATCAGCTAATTCCTACCAATTTGAAGGTTTGGCAGACATTTATCAGTTTTAGCTACTCTTTACCAGTCTAAAGGTTTGGAAGATTTCAGGAGAACAAATTAAAATCAATGGCTATTAAGATTAATACATTTGGGCACTATATTGGCCGAAGACAGAAATAAAAATTTCAAACTACTATATGGTTACATTACCATAAAATAGTTTGACATTATTGTGAGTTATTTTTATTTTTATTTTTATAAAATAAAAATAAAAAATTATATGGTGCTAGCTAGCTAGATTCACCTACAGGTTGAACCTAAAATGAAGATGGAGACTTTATCGATCCTCAAAAATATTCAAGTGTCTGACTCGTGAACTCAACCTTAATGTATTTAAGCTTTTATTCTGTTCATGGTTTAGGTAAACAAAACATTTTCATTTTAACTAACAATGAAAGATAGGTGAAGAGATTGAGGTCAACCTTAGGAGTTAAAGTATGAAAATTGGTATTAGATGGGGGGTTAATAAGGTATGGTGTCTAGGTCAACATAGGAGCATCATGACTAAGTATTAAAGGGAATAAAAAAGGTTCCCCCATTGAACTCGGAGCATCTTTCTTAGTAAGATTTAGGAGACAAGGTGGATGGAACATCATTGGAGATAGTCTAGATCTGATTAAATACGTTGACAGTAACTTTGAAGAAATTAACAATAAACTTATTTAAACTGTTGAAAAAATGAAATTGCAGCTTCCTAAACAACTGAATCTAAATAAAGACCTAAATTATCATGAAAATTTGCAGCCAAATCAACCAGATCACACCATTCAAAAAGTATGTAACAATAAAACATAAGAACAAACAGAAAATCTATTTCAACTATATCTCAAGAAATATATAAGGAACACATAACAGAATATATAAGGAACACATAACAGAATATATAAGGGTTTATAAAGTTCCATCACAATAGTACCTCCTGATTTTGATAGTCTCCACCAAGCCCGAGATTCTCTTCGAAACAACAATGAATCGCTTCTGCAAACCTGTATTTCCCACAGCGATTCAGCCTCAGACCACAAGCCGACTCCAGATTTGGTGAAGATTGAATCTTGTGATTCGGTGAAGATTGAAGCCCAAAGAATGTTTGATTAAGAACCTCTGTCTTCTGCAACGGTGGAAGAGGGTGGAAGAGCCTCCGTCTTCTGCAACGATGGAAAAGGGTGGAAGAGGATGGAAGACGGTAGAAGAGGATAGAAGACGGTGGAAGAGGCGTGATGGCTTGAGCGTTCAGAACTGAAGACTAGGTATACAAATGTAATGAGATATATGATTAAACGACGTAGTTTATGCCCCTTTTGAGTATTTTATAAAATAAAATTATTTTATATATTATATTTTTGTAGCGCCAAACAAAAAATGAAGTGCCAAATGTTACCGCGCTATTTTTTGTGGAATTGGGGACGGGCTAGTTTAGGTTTTAGGGACAGTCTTTAGAGTGTGCCAAAAAATAAAGTTTTAGGGACGGGCTAGTTAAGGTTTTAGGGACAGTTTATGAGATTGTGCCAAAAAATAAGGTTTTAGGGACGGGCTAGTTAGGTTTTAGGGACAGTCCTTGAGACTGTGCCAAAAAATAAGGTTTTAGGGACAGTCCTAAAAAACTGTCCCTAAAACATAGGGTTTTAGGGACAGTTTTTAGGACTGTCCCTAAAGGACTGTTACTAAAACCCATATTTCTTGTAGTGAACCCTATGTTCAAATTCCATTGGAGATGCAAGAAGCTTTCAATTACTCATCTTACCTTTGCTGATGATATCTTGATGTTCTCCTATGCAAATACACACTCAGTTAAAGTTTTGATGGAAACACTCAATAACTTCTGCAATGTGTCTGGAATGCAAATTAATTGAGTTAAATCAAGGACTTTCTTTACAAGAGTTGACAATACCTTAAAGTCTAATATACTATCCATTCTCTAATTTGAAGCTGGTTCACTGCCTATGATTTACTTGGGATTACCATTATCCTCATCAGCAATTAGAGCAAGGGACTGCCAAACACTGGGGGAAAAGATTACTTCAAGAGTGGGTAAGTGGGCTTCAAGATTTCTATCCTATGCTGGTAGATCAGTCCTAATCAAATCTGTTCTTTATTCCATACAAGCATTTTGGTCACAGGTGTTTATCTTACCAAAGGGGTTTTTAGAGCAAATCAATCAAGTGCTTGGAAACTTTCTCTGGACTGGGGTTGATCTAAGGAACAAAGGGGCCAAAGTTACTTGGCAAGCAATTTGCAGACTAAGAGCAAATGGAGGTCTAGGTTTCAATGATCTAGAACTGACAAATAGGATTGCAAGTTTAAAGCATATTTGGAAACTTTGTTCTAGGAAGGAAAGTCTTTGGGTGGATTGGTGTTATAGATACCTGATTAAAAGCAGAAGTTTTTGGACAGTGAAAGCAATTGGATTGAGTTCAGGTTTTTGGAAGAAGCTACTTAGAATTCGATCAATGGCAAGAGGAATACTGAAGCATAGGGTGGGGGTAGGGAAGGAGACTAGCCTATGGATAGATTACTAGCTGCCAAATGGTCCTATAGTGCAGTAATTGGGGCTCAATGGTGTGAAAATTCTTCAACTGAACAACACTCTCTTAGTTGATAGCCTAATTTCCAACCACCAATGGGTGAATCCAAACACAATTCAGCTGCATCCATTTTTTCAACTTGAAACATTCCTTTCACAGCTTCAGGAGCTACCTCAGCCCACAACTGAACAAGATTCCATAAAATGGTTACCTAGCCCTACCAAGATATACTCAATGGCACACACCCTTGCCTATTTCAGTCCACCATCTCCAATCTTTCATTGGCACAAAGTGGTATGGTTCAAACACCACATGCCCAAACACAGTCGCATTCTTTGGCTAGCAGTAAGGGGCAGATTGTATACATGCCAAGCCAGTTCGTCACAAGCACTACACTAACAGATGTTATCTTTGCAAGGTAGATTGGGAATCACTAGATCATTTGTTCTTTAAATGTGAATACTCTTCTCACGTCTGGAAGTATATACAAGATGTAGCAGGATTTTATATTATGCCTAAAACCTGGGCACAACTAGTTCTTTGGTGTTCCACCCATTGACGTTCATCTGAGTTTTCTCTTCACAAGTTTTTTTGGGCTGCAACTGTATATTTCATCTGGATGGAGAGAAATGTTAGGGCTTTTCGCAATCAATCAACCTCTGCTAACACCATCATAGGCCAAATCAGAAGCTGTGTTAGAGCAAGACTTGCAACAATTAAGCTAAGAAACTCCTATGACCTGAGAAAAATCACTTCCTTTACACAGCTGCAAAACCTCTTCAAGCAAACATGCACCACAGCAGGTGGACACAGCTGGTTACTAGCATGAAGGGACCATCACAGGTGTGGCACGTGATGAGAAGGAAAATTGAAAATTGAGATTGCGTCATAGTTACTGGTTTATATGCACAGTTGCAGTTAGAGTAATTGCAGAGTTATTAATCTTGTTTGTTAACTACTGTTGGCTGTTTTCTTTTGGTGTAATCACCCCCTTCTTTGGGGATCACATTGTACATTCTTTATCTTATTATATACGAGCTTATCCATTAACCAAAAAATAATAATAATAGCAATCTATGGATAGTGATAAAACCAAAAAAAAAAGGAGCAAGTTTAAAAAGAGAGTAAGTGCGCCAGGTAAAGTTTAATAAATATGGGATCAAAATGAAGAGAAAAGGTGCTGTATATCTTTTCGAATTTCAAGATGTGTCATTACATGAATTTTATTTAGCCTCTGCTGAAGGCTCCTCAATAATTGTTTTATAATTTTGAATAATTCTTTTATATTTTCAAAAGAATTGAACAAGAATTTCTTCACACTGAATATCAAATTTAAGATATAAACAAAAACTAATACAATATAGAAACTCCATAATTTGTAGTATCCTTTTATTTCCACTCCACCTCTGGACCAGACCCTCAACAACAGCTCACATTCTTTAGAATCTAGAATTGCTAACTTTTTAATCCTTAGAAATATGGATCAGACGTGTGTGTGAGTACCAACTAGGAAAAAAATAATAATAATAAAAAATAAATTCCCGCCTAGAATTGCTAACTTTGTTAGCTGTGGGGTTTAGCATACCTTTTCCTTGGATGATTTTGTGAGTTTGTGTCTAGGTCCAAATTCTGGATTGTACAGATTTGTGTGTTTATATATGTATATATTAGATGATTTTGGCATTTTCTTCCATATGCTTTATAGTGCGGATTTACTTTCTAACAATGAAAAGGAGGTGATGTGTGAATTGGTTAACATTATTGTGTTGGAGTTTTTTTTTATATCTGGTAAGTTATTGATCAATGATATTTGGAAATAGATGAAAGAAACATCAAGTTTTGAAACCCATGTGTGTGTGTGTGTGTGTATATACTGTATGTTTTGTCATGGACTTAATTAATTAATAATTAAAATAGGATTGTTTGATGAATGCATCTAAAGATAAAAAAGACAAGACTAACAAATTTAGGTTGTAAGCTGTTTATTTTGTTGTTGATGTATGACCCTTTTTTATGCTTCGGTTTGGCAGTGGTTGTGCAGCTCGAGACGGGGTTGGTTTGTGAAAATTTGGTATGAGCTTTTTATTGGGAAGGTGATGCATTCTCACTGGTGTTGCGGGTGGGTCTTCTTATTTTTGGGTTTTGGCTCGTGGCTGTTGTTATTGAGCATTTGGTAACTCAAATTTTTACAAAGCATTGAACAAGAATTGGGCTATGGAGGTAAACGAAGGTTTGTTACAGAACTACGTACCATAATCCCAATGTATTTCAAAAATGGATATCAAACGAAAGATCAAGAAAAATGGAACAAAGTTCTTATAATTAAATCCTTACTGAAATTTCTAATTTTTGTTAACAATTGTTGAGACATAATAGCAATCTATGGATAGTGACGACACCCCAAAAAAAAAAAAAAAAACAAAAAGGAGCAAGTTTAAAAAGAGAGAAGAGGTGCTGTATATCTTTTCGAATTCCAAGATGTGTCACTTACATGAATTTTATTTAGCCTCTGTTGAAGGCTCCTCAATAATTGTTTTATAATTTTGAATAATTCCTTTATATTTTCAAAAGAATTGAACAAAAATTTCTTCACACTGAATATCAAATTTAAGACACAAACAAGAACTAATACAATATAGAAACTTCATAATTTGTAGTATCCTTTTATTTCCATTCCACCTCTGGACCAAACCCTCAACAGCAGTTCACATTCTTTAGAACCTACTAATTAAGCATGGCATCTGCATGCTCCTGCACCACCTTCCAGGCCAGGTTCACGTGCCGATGCTCGGTAAGCGTCGCACCGATGGCAAATCGGATCACATAGACCCCTCCGATCACTGCATGAGTCATGTAGACTCGGCCCGACCCATTGACGGACTCCAATAACTCGCGGTTCAACTCGTTAGCGCATTCCCCATTGAACAAACCCTTGTAACCATCATCACAACATATTGCTGATGGCAAAACCCTAAAACAGACCATAGCAAAATTTCTAGGCACCACAACTTCAAACCTCTTGTCACTTGCTACAAACCCTTCAAAATGCTTGGCCATTTCAACATGACCTCTTATATAGTTTCTTAGTTTAGTCACACCATGGCTTCTTAGCACAATCCATAGCTTCATGGCTTGAAATCGCCGGCTTAGGCCTATTTGCCAGTCTTTGTAGTCCACCACCAGCTTTGAGTCAGTGGCCTTGTTCCTCAAGTATTCGGGGTATGTTGAGAGAGCCTTGACAAGGGCACTTGGGTCTTTAACCCAAAGGCAGCAACAATCAAGGCCAGTCAACAACCATTTGTGTGCATTGAAGCTAAATGAGGTTGCTCCTTCTACTCCATCAATGAAGCGCCTGAACTCCGGGCATATGCATGCACTCCCGGCATACGCCGCGTCCACGTGAACCCATATGCCATGTTGTTTTGCAACATCACATATTGGTCCTAATGGATCAACAGCATTTGATGAGGTAGTCCCAACTGTGGCACATATATACAATGGGATTAAACCCATTTTCACATCTGACAGTATTGTGGACAGCAATGAGTCTGGAGATAGCCCGAATTCCATAGATTTTGTCGTTGAGATTGCTCGAAAATTCTTGGGGTGGATACCTGTTAATTCGAAAGTAATTTTGAAAATCTACATATCACTAGCATAATCAATTTATTACTTGCATGACAAAATTTTAGTGTGTAAAAATGTGTTTGTAGAAAGTTTCAAGTGACATGTCTTTTAGTAGTAGTATTCTTAGAAGCTCATGATTACATAAATGGTCAACTTTAGGTGTTCTTATCAACAGCATTTGATGAGGTAGTTGGAATTTTAAATTAATTTTTTTGGAATTCCAATTTAAAGACACGAATTTCGTACTACAAAATGCAGCATTAATATATTTGATAAAAAGAGGATAAAGAATTGCTTATCAATACCGGCAATGTGAGCTGCTTTCAGGAATGAAGAATGGGTTTGATCGGAGCCATAAACGACTAGCTTCCCTGTGTTTTCTTTACCAATTTGGCTTAGCTTTTGATCTCTGGCGGCGGTTAGGGTGCACACAATGGCCTCACAAGTACCACCATGAATGACACCGCCACCTCCACCACTGAAATGGAATGACTTTGGAAGCTTGAGCAACTTGGCAAGCCAATCCATGACTATATTCTCCAGCTCAGTCGCAGCCGGTGACGATTGCCAATTAAATGCGACCACATTAAAGCCGGATAAGAGCATTTCGCCTAGAAAACCAGCAATGCTTGTGTTTATTGGAAAGTAAGCAAAGAAGTTGGGACTTTGCCAATGTGTTAGGCCAGGAATAATATCAGTCTCCACATCTTGGAGAATTGTTTCAATGGGTTCAGGGTTGTTTGGGGCTGACTCTGGCAAACGTTGCCGGAGATAACCCGGTTCGACTCGGCTTCGGACCGGGTATTTCTCGATGTTCTTGTAATAGTCTGCTAGGAAATCAACGAGTAGGTGGCCTTGTCTCCTGAATTCTTCGGGGTCTAGTGGGTTCATGGTTTTGGTGATGAAGTTTTCTTGTGAACCCATCTGGTGTGGTTTGGGATCATAAGAGATCGAGTTGATGTGGTGGTTGCCAAGTGAGCAATTTCTAGCATTGTCTTTGGGCTGCTGGCTGGATGCCAAATGCAAGTCACCGCGATAAATTCTACAATATCTCGGAATATTTTCACATGTGATATTACTTTTAATGAAAGTTTCAGTTTTCTTTTTTTTTTTTTTTTTTTTTGTTTTTTTTGTTTTTAGTAAATAGAGATGTGAAGAGTTTTTATTTAAAATAAGTAAATAGTTTTGTTTGAGAGATGTGAAGGTGATCAGTGTACCAATTTATTAAACTTGCCAAAGTCTTCTAGCTTAGCTGGTAAGATGTCTTCTGTTGGCTCTTGGAGCGTATGGGTTCGAGTCTTGGCACCAACTAACCCCTAACATTTACCCTTCAAAAAAAAAAAACGCAATATTTATTTTCTCATAAATATCAAATAATAACCTGTGAAATGTGTAATTGTCGCATACATTTAATACCAAAAATTTTGGATACCACATTGGTACCTAATGAAGCCAACTCAGTTAAAAAAAATCAATTATGGAATATTTTAGATTCACTACAATGCTTATTGAAGATTATAGAAGAAAACCCTACAATTATCCAAGATTAAAGGTTCACTAGAATGCTTAACCAATGTCAATTTCAACTAAAAAAATATCATAATTTACACTAACAGATGACAAATGAAATAATCATAAATTCTTACATTTATGTGTGACATAAGTTAGTTAACACTGTGTCAATACCTTGTTTTAATGGTGAAGGTCATTAGTGTTCTAATTTATGAAACTTCGCAATGTTTATTTTCTCATAAATATCAAATAATAGCCTGTGAAATGTGTAATTGCCGCATACATTTAATACCAAAATTTTTGGATAACACATTGGTACCTAATGAAGCCAAGTCAATTCAAAAAATCAATTATGGAAGATTTTAGATTCACTACAATGCTTATTGAAGACAAATGAAAGAATCATAAATTAAGTTCTAAATCTACAATGTTCAGTTCAAAACAAAAATTTCACTGTATTTTGAACAAATAATGAACAATACTATTAAATGCACAATATTAATAACATATATTAAGACTTCCCAACCATCAAGCATTAATTAGGTCAATTGTAGATACCAGCTCAGATTCATTGTAGATTTCTTTCATGTAGATGAAGAGGAGAATCTTATTGAAGAAATCACCAATTCCTAGAAGGAAATCACTGCAATCTGGGTTTTGATTCAAAAAAAGGAAATAAAAAAGTAAAAATAGAGGAGGGAGGAATTAGGGTTTTAAATAAAAAAGGAATTCAAAAGCAATATGTTTTTTATGGAACAAGGTTATACGAATTAGGGTTTGGATTAAAGAAATTAAATAGAAATAATGAACAAAACGAAAAGGGAAGGAGGGAAATAACAAAACCAAAAGGGAAGGAAGGGAAAGTGAAAGTGCAAAAGCGGGGGCGGGTGCGCCAAATTTTTCAACTTATTTCAACTTTCCTTTTTGTATTTTCTTTCTTTTTTTTTTGTTTTTTTTTTTTTTTTTTTGATCTTTACGTTTTAATTTGTCTTTTTCTTTTTACTTTTCATGTTCTTTTTCGTCTCTGAATCAGATCTGCTGGGTCAACTTGTGAACATGATCTATCATGCATAGAGCTTATTGTCATTGATATCTAGAACATAATTTTTAAGTTACTCACAGTTTACTGCTTTAAGGTGATTTGGTTTTTGTTAATTTTTTTAAATATATATATATATATATATATATATATATATATATATATTAGGTTACGAAGAAATGAAGTATGGCTATGAGATCATAAGAGATCGAGTTGATGTGGTGGTTGCCAAGTGAGCGAGAATATATTGCAGAATTTATAGCATTGTCTTTGGGCAGTTGGCTGGATGCCAAATGCAAGTCACCGTGACAAATTCTACAATATCTCGGAATATTTTCACATGTGATATTACTTTTTATTAAAGTTTTTTTTTTTTTTTTTAGTAAATAGAGACGTGAAGAGTTTTTATTTAAAATAAGTAAATAGTTTTGTTTGAGAGTGATATTACATCCAAATACGTTTAGTATGGTATGGTAATTATAGTGGCAAAGATGATACCTAATAACAGTAAGAAAAATTTCATTCGTGACACATATCTTGACAGTACAGTGAGTATATAACTTCTTATTTTAAGAACAGTTAAAAACTAATATATATATATATATTATATTCAAACAGACAAACCAATAAGTTCTCTTTCTAATATTTAAACACAAGTGAGGAAGTTGTACCAGTACCAGAATATTCAAACTACCACTCCACAGTTATTTTAGGATTTCCGATAGATTTAAAATTACTCGGTTTTGGGTAGAATTTGATCTAAAATGACTTACGTGGAAAAAATAATTGAAGTTGTATATTGATGATGAAGTACACCAAACACAGAAATTAAGCATTTCGAGGTGTAGTGCAGAAAATGATTGTCTTGTCTTGTCCCGTCAACTAACATGACTATTATAATATTCAGGCCACATCAGTCACATGTCACCACATTTATGTACCATCTGTTTTCATGTCATGTCCCCATTATTTTTCCTAGCGAGGACGCCAGCGCCTCATACCGTTTGGTAGGTGCACAGTTAGGATTTTAATTTGAGGATAATTTTAAAATAAAAATTAAAAAATTAATTAATATTGATATAGCACGTAAAGAAAAACTTTAAAAAGAAAAAAAGAATAGAATATTAAAATATATTTGAAAGGAAAAAAATTATACTATATTTCAAAAAGAGAATTTTGAGTTTTTTTTTTTTAAAGAATTTAAAAAATAGAAGAAAGAAAAAATTAAGATAATTTTATAAATTAAAAATTTAGAGATGACATGATATATAATTTTTCATATATACTATAAAAAAATACAAATTAACTATATATATTTTATTGGGCGAGACAGGTAAGGGGCACGTGCCCCCTAGGTGTTAATTGGCTTAGCCACAGCCCTTGGGCCGAGAGTCGAAGCTGTTCGCACGCCCTGAAGAGCCTTGTTCAGATCTCCACACCTAAACAATCTATTGGCCCGATCATTTCATGGTGTGACTTATAAGTCTCACAATCTCTTTCATATTTTGAGTGTACTTTTGCTCTTAAGCTATGTCAATGCATGTGCTTTCGTTCTTATGTTTATTGCATGTCACTTAAAATTTATCATTTTCATGTACTCACTTTATGTGATTTAGAATGTGACATATGCCATACTTCCCTGGGAGTAATGACACTATACATTAATACTCTTGGTGTATTGTAATTTTTTCTGCAGAAACACAAAGCTAATCTCAGCATCGTGGGCCACTGGTAATGGAGAAAATAAAAAATGGAGCATTGGTCGAGTAAGGCCCATGCTTGGGTATGATAACCATAGTGGCAAGGATGGTACCTACTGGTGTAGGAGAGATGTAAGTTTTTAATAAAGAGTTAAAATTTGATACTTTAAAATTTATAAAAAATATTAACTCGCTAAATTACCGAATCATATACATACTCTCATAAGTAAGGTGCTATTTTAAATAAAAAAATTCAATTTCTTGTACCATCAACATAAATTGAGAGTTTCACTAACGTGGTTCTTCCCGATGCATCAATTATTTTTACCAAGCCCGCATTTAAATACAAAACGGCATTATTGTCAATCAGTGTGACATTATTGTGGGCCCAATCATGTGGGCCCCCTCACTTAGTTGGCCCATGTGGTTCTCCTCGGTACTTTGACAGCCCACTTGTACGCCATCAGAGTCCTTGCTTTTGGGGACAGTGATCTACTGATCCGAACGATCGTAGAATTGTAGGAGAGGGGCGACATTAAACAATAATAATAACAATAATATATACTGCGGTATTGTTAGATTTTAATTGGGATATTTTTATAATTTTTATAAAAAATTAAATAAATAAAAAATGAAGATGGGCAAAAACAAAGATTTCATTTTAAGACTTTTACAAAATTTATAGGTAATTTTTGTAAAAAAAAAAAATTAATGCCCCACTAATCCTTTGAATTGAAAATTAATCACCAAAGTGTTTTAACTTTTTATTCATAAAATTCTGTACCTTAATTTTATTACAATATCGTCCTTATATAAGAAAAATAAAGAAATATATATTGCCTAAATTAACTAAATAATAATGCCTAATATAAAATTCAAATAATATTATTATTGGTTTCCTACGGATAATATGCACATGTATATATAGTTTCTCTAGATTAAACCAATGTATAGATTGGTATTGTTTGCCGATTTAGGTAGACTAATCATAATTTTGTGTCAGTTTTGTATTGCTCTTAATAAACAAAACTGAGGTTTTTTTGGGGTAGTTAAGTATCAAATACTAGTTTGTGTTCGCGAATTCTATGCATGATTAATTAAAAAGTTTTATGGAAGATTGCTTTGCCCAGTATATATACACAATTGTAGATGGGTAAGTATGTTAAAACCTATTTGAGGAGATTTCAAAGTATCAAGTTTGATTGAATATTTAATATGCAAATCTATGTGCGTGCTGATGCATGTATGGTAACTATTATATTGAATGGTTATAAACGTATACAAATATCTCCTAGTATTTTGACCTGTAGTAAAATAAAAAGTTTTGGAATATTATCCAACAAATAAAAAAATAAAAAACTCTATCAATTAGGTCACTGAGTAATATCATTTATATATCTATTTTTTCGAAATGATTAATAATTTGTATCTTTCACATCAAAATATATTCAACCATGTTTGTAAGTTCAAGGATTATACTTACCAAAAAAAAAGTTATAAGTTTATTTGTTTAGCATTCTTATAGGATGGCCAATGACTGAAATAAGGAATAATGGTCTTGTTGTCGTAGGTTTCCTTTTTTTTCCCCCAATTAGAATAAAGGTTTCGAGAGCATTCAAACGGCCAAATTCTTGGAATAATTTTACAGTACTAAGCAATAATGCAATGGGGGTAGCAAG